GAAACTAGACCAACAAGTTACACCATACACAAAAATAAACTCAAAATGGATAAAGGACTTAAATGTACGACGGGAAACCATAAAAATTCTAGAAGAATCCAAAGGCAACAAAATCTCAGACATATGCCGAAGCAATTTCTTCACTGATACAGCTCCTAGGGCACTTGAAACTAAAGAGAAAATGAACAAATGTGACTATATCAAATTAAAAAGCTTCTGTACAGCAAAAGAAACCGTCAACAAAACAACGAGAAAACCCACTGTGTGGGAAAACATATTTGCCAATGTCATATCTGATGGGGTTTGTTTTTGTTACGGCAATGCTCAGAAGGGAAGATGGTCCTTTTACAGTAGGAGAGAATCCCTCTACTGGTTGTTTCTTCAAATTGCAGGTCAGCACTCAATGGTTCAGAATTTTTTTCTTTTTTTAAGTGAAAATATGTATTGGATATAGTAAGTGTAAGTGTTTTCCAGTGAAACCTGTTTCCATTATGTATTGATGAATGCAGGATCAAGATTACTTGCCTGTCTGGAACCTTCAGCACCCGTGGGCTGCATACTGTCAGCCACAGGATTAGGGTGAGGCGAGTGAGGCAGGTTAAGTAAATGTTGGGTAGGATCCTGTCTCTATTTAAATTCTGATATTTTGTTTATTATGGATTCTTGCATTAATTTTGATTTTTAAAAAGAACTTTACATTTAAATAGGATTGAATTTTATTACTACACTGTTTTATGTCCCCTTAAATGTTGTGCCTCAAGTGAGCGCCTCGCCCTGACCTTCAGTATGTGCCTCACAGAGGGAGTGGAGAGAGTGGGAGCCTGAGAATCCGAGACACACTTGGGAATGAGAAGCTGACGATGTGTGACCCTTCTCCCGTCTCAGTGAGGCAGGAAGTAAACGCACCAGCTAAGAGTGAGGAAGACAGCCCTCAGAGAGGGGAGACTTAGCATGGCTGGTGAAGAGACTGGGAGAGGGAGGAGGTTGGGACAAGTGAGGGACAGTCTTGCTGGGTGGGGTGAGGGGGCTGGGGGCAGGGAGAGGTGGACAGAGTGTTCTAAATGATTATAGAGGTTGTGGTTGAAGATGAGTGTACTGGAGAGTATGTGTACTTGAGTTTAGAATTTAGAGGGAATGAAGTTCCAAGCGAAGCCACATAAAGGACTTTCTTGCTGATAAGTTGTCTTGTGTGTAATAGAGAGGAAATGTAAACAGTGGTGCATACATCATAAAATAAGGGTTCCTTAAACTTCCAAGTGTCTTTAAAATATATATATATTTTTTTATTGATTTCAGAGAGGAAGAGAGAGGGAGAGAGAGCTAGAAACATCAATGATCTGAGAGAATTGTTGATTAGCTGCCTCCTGCATGCCCTTTACTGGGGATCAAGCCCGCAACCAGGGCATGTGCCCTTGACCGGAACCAAACCCGGGACCCTTCAGTTCGCAGGCAACACTCTATCCACTGAGCCAAACCTGCTAAGGCATAAAGTAATATTCTGATGATATATCATAGAATTGTATACTTGAAATCTATGTAATTTTATTAACCAATGTCACTCTAATAAATATAATTAAAAAAAATTTTCTCCACTACAGTCTGGTGAAAGTCTGAGTGTCGTGAAGAATATTTGTGGCCATAGCTTTTCTCCCAAATGTTCCTCCCCCTGCCAACACTGAACAGAAGAAAAGTTATTCATAGGAATATTACTTACCAAATCCTACGGGAACTACTATCAATAAGAGCTACTTGTTAGCCATCAGTGGCTATTAACTTGCTAAGATTATATAGAGTACTTGTAATTGGAGCACTAGACGCTCATCACAATATCTAGGGAAAAATGAAAGTCTTCTTTCGTAGTTAGTGCCAAAGAATTCATCTGGCTGCAAGAGCAGATTCTATCAGGCATCTTGAGTATTATTACTTATAAAACAGATGACAGTATTGTGTTTGGGGCAGTGAAATTAAATCCCATACCAAAGTGGGCCAAAAGCAGGTGTCAGCCTGGGACAGATGTCAGCACCAGGGACAAAACAAAAAGAATAGTCATGTAATCCTTTGAACATATTTGGAACTATAAACTGCAAATGTAAATTCTGGATTGTTAACTATCATTTAGGACTATGCTGTCCAATATAATAATCACTAGCCACATATGGCTATTTAAGTCTAAATTAATTAAAATTAAATAATTAAAAATTAAGTAAAATTCAGGTCCTCAGTTGAATTGATCACATTTCAACAGCCACGTGTGGCCCGTCACTGCTGTGTTGGGCAGCACAGACAGAGAGCATTTTCATCACTGCAGAAAGTTCTACTGGACAGACTCGATACAGCATTTCAACCTTTTCCAGTGTATGTGGGGGTTTTTTTTGCGGGGGAGGGAGAATTTTCTATGGTAACCCATATTTATCACTGTTTTCTGATCACCTCATACACTATAACACAAATGACTGAAATATGTTTACCATCACAGCTCTCCACTCTACCAATGCACATAATACAACCAATTAAAATGTGTTGGCTGGATCAAATAACCAGGACAAGCGAAAAACAAATATGGAAACACTAACTCTTTATCCAAACATGGTTTCACTTATGAATGCATGTCCGAAATCAGGCCAACGCCATTTCTGAGCCCCATCTTGTCACCTAGTCTCATCAACTATTATGTATTTTTTAAAGTTAGTTTTACATTAGTAGCAAGGTATAATTAAATTTATGTAATGACTCTGACCTGTGCCAGAGTCAATAAAATTGCCACCAGAAATGCTCAGAAAATCCCAGTTATAGAGTAATCATCAAGAAAGCACAAGATCTGAGCAACATGACTAAATAATGATGATGATGATGATAATAATAATATATAAAAAGACTGTGTAAGTTAAGACAACCAGATCTAACAGCATTATTGATTTTTTTAAAAAAATATCAACTGTATAAAGTTCATAATCTGGACTTTTTATTTCACATTTGCTTTCCCTCTGTTCTGAACAACCATGAATCTTCCAAAAGTACCATTTTAAATACATCTTATCACATTACTAGGTGGTAAGATTATTTTCTTGATTCTTTATCTGATTTTCGAGGTTGTTTGCCCAACAAAATCACACTTAAAAAGTGATACATGATTGCAATTCACCAGAATGAAAACAAGTAATTCAATGAAGATGGCAAATACTTAACTAAGAATATAGTTTTCACAAGTAGTGGGCAGATCATGGTTTATAACCATAGATACTAGTTGTACATAAAAATCATGAGCCTGAGACATGATAGTATATATACACATTCTGATTAAAAATCAACTGCTGAGCACGCTTCTGGGCCATGAAGAGTCATGAACTGCACAGCCGGCATAAAGTTCGCTGTGGAGTGCGGTCTTTATCCCCCCTACATAGCTTGAGCTGACAAAGGCGACTTAAAATTTTCCCCTCAAAACCAATTGTTGGGAGATAAATATTATAATTAATATTTATAGTAGCCCGGTGCACAAAAATTTGTGCACCTTGGGGCTGGGGGGAGTGTTCCTCAGCCTGGCCTGCACCCTTTCCAATCTGGGACCCCTGGAAGGATGTCCTACTGCTGGTTTACAGGAATCGGGCCTAAACTGGCAGTTGGACATCCCTCTCACAATCTGGGACTGCTGGCTCCTAACCAATCACTTGCCTGCCTGCCTGATTGCCCCTAACCACTCTGCCT